ACTAATGATGGCTGCATTTCATTTCACATTAGCATGGGCCTTTAATTACTGTCTTTGGCTTATGGTTTGCTGCTCTCCTTTCTCATCATATTTCACGGTAATATGTGTGCTGTTACTTTGTTCTGATGTGCCTTGGTTTATTCCACCGTAAGCTTTTTGCATTAGAGCCCCTCAGTGGAGCTGCTGACATGGTGCTGATTGGTCTGAATAACTGGATTGTGATTTAACACAGTCTGACAACTTTCTACAGCTGAGCAGTCCTGTCGCGAAGTCTCCCGCTATTCCTGAGTTTTAGTAAGAACTGTCAAAGAAAAAAACCCGATCTGCACTGAGTGCCAAGAAATGTTTAAATGTGTTAAACTGCTGTAGAGCTCGTGGCTGCAGTTTCCATCTGAGTGGAGGTGTGGATAGGGATCATTGAGCTGTGTCGCTTCTGATCAGCATTCATACAGCCAGAGCATGTTTAGAGTTTCCTCGTAACAGAGAGCGACCTTCCTCTCCTGGACTCAGGTGTTGACTCACTCTGACACCACGTCAAAATCCTGAAGCTTAGTGAGTGCACTACAAAAACTGTGAATCCTGCAAAGTATATTCGTCTAATGTAGAGTGTGTCTTTACACTTGCAGAGCTCTCAAGTCTCAAGCAATTGGCGTGAGACACACGCATTTCACTCCATTCACACGCTCACACGCCACACCTTGTATTTCTCACGCAGAGATTTTCTCACCCAGAGATTTCTTTCCAGGGTACCGCCCACCAAGTTGCGCCGCAATTTTGTAAACAAACTAGGCTTGTTTGAGACGCGTGCACTCCACTAGCACCGCCCCCCCCCCCGTTGACATTCGCGATACAGAGGGCTTCATGCGAACTTTGAGGGGAGCCAGAAGTTGGAGTACCAAACACCGCTGCCAAAATCTAACCTGAAAACTTGAGAGCCCTGCACTTGATATAAGACCTGATAACTTAAGAAGGAACGAGGCAGGGAGATATAGGGTCTTGTTTTTAAGACTTAAAAACACCTTACTTTCAGTTGTTTCTCAGATTAAACGTTTTATTTTACATTTGTATTTGAAAATTGCCGACTAACATCACAAAGCAGAACACTTTTGAGCATTTGTGGCAACATTTCCTGATTCTGGTCAAATATAGTTCCAAAGTAGTTTTCCCAGCTAATTACAAAATCTGATTTAAATAAATATCCCATCCTATTACAGGAAATCTTACCAAGCCGATGTTCACTTGCTCTATTGGCAGATTAGTTTGACTTAAAGTGGACCTATCATGCTATATTTGAATAACATAGTGTAGGACCATACCTATATAAGGCATATTTATACTTTTTATTTTTCAAAATACCAAACAGATCATGCATTTTAGCCATTCCTCATTTCGCTCAATTTAACACTGTCTTTGCATCATGGGCTGATTCTGTGAGAACAGCACCATCTACAGGCCTGGTATATGTACTATAGCGTCTCCAGCGCTTTCCAACGGCAATGTCCGTGGCTGTCTCCTCCTGATTGGTGGAGTTGGCCCAATAGCCGTAGCGCCACTTCTGTGACGTCATAGAAGTGTTCAAATCTGGATCAGTCTGTATCAGATCCGTTGCAGCCCCTTTGTAAGAGATTTGGGTATGGAGGAAAAAAGAGAGGGTTGTGTTTTCTGACACTTGGTGAGTTCCCTGGAACACCGGGGACACATGTTCATGTAGAAAAGACGTACACAAGTGCATTTTGCATGATAGGTCACCTTTAATACAAGCGAGAATACCTTGTTTTCATTATTTGTTTACTTGTAGATCCTGCAAGGAATTAATAACATACCATGATGCATTATTGTCCTTTAGGATTGATGGACTTATGCATCGTGGTTATATCATTTGCAAGGGATTGAATGTTCTTTCCTTAACTTGGTGTACTCGTAATAAACCGTATTTAATTTGGTTTTACTGTACAACATTTAATCTCATATTCTGTTCTTGTACACATCATATTCTATTCACATATACACTTCTTACACTATTTGTTATTTGTATTTTAGTTTTGTATTAGTTCAGTCCTTTTGTCTTTTGCTTTGTCTTGTGACTTCCTGTTTTATTTAGTAGTAACCTTTCCCTCTCGTTTCAGAGCCCTTCCTGCCCTTGTGTGTTTTCCCTCCAGTGTGATTGTCAGCCCCTCCCTTAATTGTTGCCACCCGTGTCCCCTTAGTGTGTATATATAGTCTGCGTCTCCCCTTGTCCTGTGCCAGTTCGTCTTGTCTCACCAAGTCTGCCAGTCATTCCTTGATCTTGCTAAGTATATTGTTGATAGACTCCTTGTGTTATATGTTTGATAGTCCAAGTAGATGTTTTGTTTAGAGTTTTTGGATCTTATACTTTTCTCAGTTTTGATCCTACTACTGAGCGTTTTGTGTTTTTTGCCTTTTATTAAATACCTTGTTAATCCTGACCTGTTTCTGGTGTTGTGCGTTTGGGTCCTGAGCCTTGTGACATTCTTAACCTTTAGTATGTTTATGTTTATTAAGGATCCCCATTAGCTTTTGCTCTCGACAAAAGCTACTCTTCCTGGGGTCCGACACATAAGTCCTGACATCATTAACAACATTAAAAACATCACCAATATCATCAACAACATGCGATCAAATTCAATTAGGGTTCACAGCTCACAAGGGGACATGGTCATTAGTAGATGGCCCTTCAATCTCTTCTTGAAAGAGGCTCTGGACTATATTTCAGCAAGGTATTAAGGCTTAAGCCGGGTTAAAACTCTGAAATCTCTTACATTTGAGAATCTTACAGGAATTAAAATAATATTTAGCTATATCTTAATCTCTGCTTGTCATAAAACCTTATTTGCAATTTATTTGATTTTGATCTTAGTAATGTTGTTGTTACAGGCTATGATGTGAAGTCACTTGACATTACGAGTCTATTGCTAACCTTTACCTCTAGGCTACTTATAGCAAATAGTCATTACACCCAACAGTCCTGTACTTGCCAGTAATAAGGACGCATTAAGGTCAACGTGTATTTTTTCCCAGAGAGATTTCCACTGGAGTCCTCAAATATGTGAAGCCTTGGAATACACACTTTGCCTAATTTTGGCAAAGTGTCCTTCATTTTGAAGATGATTGCTAAGTCAATGATTATTATTCTCAGCTAGCTCATTATACTAATGGTCTTAAAAGTCACCAGTGAATGCCTGTTCAACGTTTTGATTCTTTTCAGGGATCACTTCAGACGGAGCGCTCCGCCCCGGGAGAAATTAACCCACATTCAAGAGACAAGGTGTTAGCAATAAACTTCTCGTGTAAGAAATAAGGGCTTTTTCGCTGAGCACTTCTAATTTGAAGCTATCTACGGTAATTCCAATGCTTTAGCCAAATGATAAATAACACATTCACAGAGGCCGTTTGGGCTTTTCCTTTTCCTTTAGTTCCCCTCTCCGTAGCTTCTCTTGGACTTAAAATCACACTGTACATTTATATATTCCGTTTAATATTTAATATTCAATCTGTCACATACTTATATTTTCTACTTTCTTGTTTATGTCTAGGCTTTTTCAATCTTTATTTTACAAAGCCATGTCTTTTTATGCTGCTGCACAAACATTTCCCAAATTGGGTTCAATAAAGTAATAATAATAATTTTATATATAAGCGCACTTTGGTGGGAGTTGATGGTGGGTTGAGTCTTGTCCAACAATTTGGGGTGAAGTGTCTCAGAGACACAACGACAATAACCCACATATTTATTTATTTATTTATTACGCATAATACCATCATGTTGCATCGGTTAGTTATCTGTTCATATATAATATACATATCCACATCTTTTTATACAACCTTTTCATCCATGCCTCCCCATATTACTATTTCATTTTACTTTCTGTTTTATCTTATTTTATTTTATATGTATATATTTTACTTATTCCTGCTTGTTAGTTTTACACCTTACGTTATTGGACTAGTTTCTTCTTGCATTATTTAATAATACATTCTGACGAATATTTTTTTTTATTATGAATTCAAATAAAATAAAAGAAGCCTCCCGTGAGTTACTACAAACTATAAAGCATATTTTAAAAACGTTTTAAAGAGTAGAAAACAACATTAAGCTCATTGCGGGACATTGCAGAAATGTGTCCACCACGAAAAAGGATCCTCATTCACTTTACATTGGGGTTGTTTTCGTGGTGCCGACACGTAATTTTGCAGATTCTCTGTTCATTTCACGTATTTTGGAGAGAACAGGTTGATTTAAATGGTCTGCAAAAAAATAAAATAAAGAGCTTTTTGAACATTAAAGCATGGAGACATGTCACAGTAGAGACACAACATACTGATATACACCTGAACATCAGCAGGAGAGGACTCTTTAAAGTAGAGACACTACATACTGATATACACCTGAACATCAGCAGGAGAGGACTCTTTAAAGTAGAGACACTACATACTGATATACACCTGAACATCAGCAGGAGAGGACTTTTTAAAGTAGATACACTACATACTGATATACACCTGAACATCAGCAGGAGAGGACTCTTTAAAGTAGAGACACTACATACTGATATACACCTGAACATCAGCAGGAGAGGACTCTTTAAAGTAGAGACACTACATACTGATATACACCTGAGGCCGTATTCACAAAGGATCTTAGGGCTAAAAGTAGCTCCTAACTGGCGAATTTAGGAGAAACTCCTAAGCATAATAGGCGTGTCAGTCTTAAATTTAGGACTCCTAATTTTATTCACTA